TTTTTTTTTTTTTTTTTTTTTTTTTTTTTTTTTTTTTTTTTTTTTTTTTTTTTTTTTTTTTTTTTTTTTTTTTTTTTTTTTTTTTTTTTTTTTTTTTTTTTTTTTTTTTTTTTTTTTTTTTTTTTTTTTTTTTTTTTTTTTTTTTTTTTTTTTTTTTTTTTTTTTTTTTTTTTTTTTTTTTTTTTTTTGAAAAAAAGAGCAGAACACCCATTCCATACAAAATATATTATAGTACAATCTATTTCGAACAAAGGAACTGCTGCTTCAAAGAGAAAAATCAGCCACATAGATGACAGCTGCCCATTAAAAGCAGCTTTCGGACGTGACCAGAAATTTTAATTTGCTTGAGGCTTTTTAGTAGCTGAACGAGTCTACGAAGTCGGGCAGAAGATAGAGTCGCTCAAGCGAAATGTACCTAGACCTAACTTTTTGCGACTAAGGGCATGGCTACTTCAGTATAGGTCACTGTTTAAATTTCGAACAGTGCTGAATTCAACCTTTGCAGAATTAAACTTTAAATTTGGATATTGTTTGGAATATGGAAGGTTTTCGAGGATCTTCTTTCGATGAAGAATTTGAAGAAACTTTCGTTATGTGAAGGAAATATCTTCGATAACTGAACATGGGTTTAGATAGAAAGTGTAGCCACGACAGTGGAGCAGGATCAGGTTTAACCTCCTGATGGTGAGCGTAAAAAGGGCTCCATTTGTACTATTCTTGTATTACTCGTATTTTTTCGTCGTCTCCATTTTCTATCAATCTTCGATTTATCAGCGCCGCGCTAATTGCGAGCCAGGTTGAGTCAAGTGTCAAGAAAATTGAATCCGATTCCTCTAACGATAAGAGCCGACACGATCTTTAGCTGTGCCCCCACGATTCACCATCGTCTCCAGGTTTTCAATTCACCCTATCTAAAAAAGCACCTAGCATTTCTAAAAACTTCAATCGGTAGGGGGAGGAGAGCCGTGACGAGCAATTCCACCCATACGGGCTCCTCCTCCCCTACCAGGCAAATTACGGGCCATCGGCAAGGAACGTTGGCTCACCCTTCCCCGAAGTGCGAGCAAGCTCTTCACCGCATCAACTACACACCAGTTCTTCACTTCGTGATTGGAGCGAGCCATTCCCAATAGTCCACGATATTCAGCATTATCGAACGCCGGGTGGCGTAGTCGATATTCTTCCACGACGATGTATCCCGAGGAGCAAAGCGTGCAGTAAAGAAAAGCTTTGTTTTCAAGCAGCGTATGCTCCCACTCTTTATTATTCGGGTCTCCTAAACCACAATGTCGTATGTGATTTGCTCAGTTTGAATCTTGAATCTCAGAATAGAGAAGATGATCGGGTGTGTGTTCATCATTTAGTGGAATTGTATACACGTTGAATGTTAAATGAAATAGTAGTACAGCCGTTCTCCGACAATTCTTCTACCGTAATCTCTCAGATGAAGTTCAGAGATTGCCGAATACTCTTCTAATGCCCTAAATGGTGAAAAGTCTGAAAATTGCAGCGGTAGAGTTATGATCACCGCGAGTGAAACGCGATTGCCCACGCGAACGAGATTTGCGTTGGCTGTTGCTTCCTTTTGCTTCCCCCCACCGCACCACCTCGGTCTGAGCTTGGTTGTTATACTCTAAATTGTTGATTCTGTCAGTGATATGCTCAAGGCAAATGCTTAGAGATTGACGAACCGGTACGGATAGGAGTGGACCTGGGCCCCCTGAAAAAGTCCGCTTGCGAAAAAGCGGGAAAGTCGTTTCTGTGCTAGCGACTGCTCACCGTGCAAAATTCGGGCTAGGGCACAATAATATTCGGACTTAGGCAGGAAAGCGTAAACGAAATGGTCTCCTAACCCGCCCGGGTGGTTCCCCTTCCTCGAAAAAATTAAAATGTATATAGACACCGTGAGTCATTGCACCATATTCCCCCTTTACTTTATTGAAATAGACCGGGAGACCTAACATCGTAGCATAGCTTGTTGATATTATTTCGACTGAGGCGTGAGATGATTTGTGTATCGCTGAGCGTCAGCTGATTGTTTATAACCCCAACCCGCTCCGCAAACTACCACCTTCAGCTCTGAATCGGAACGTCAAACAGAAAGTGCACTGCGGGAGTGGGCTCGCTTTGCACTCGTTTTGACGACTCAAGAAATTCGTAGTTTTTCAGCTGGCGTGCTGACTTGAACTTTATGCCCTGGTCTCCCACTAAAGACTTACGAGCTGCTTGGGCTCAGCTTAAAATGGCGGTCAGTGTGCTGCCCTATCTACGCTCTCACACAAATAGCGGTTCATGGCTGCAGTAACCTCGCACGCTCCAACTTTTGCTACACCAGGGCAGTATTCATCCTTCCCCAGGGCGGATAGTATCCCCTCCTCTGATTCAATCCTCTGGGGGACAAAAAAGGGTTGCGTCATAGGACCTAGCATACCTCTGTGTTTCTACCTGCCAGACAGTTAGAGCAGCGCTACTTACCCTCTGATGAAAGCACTCTTTCCCTGAGGGGAGCTTACAAGGGAAGGATGGTAGGTCGAAGTGGCCGTTTGAAATGAAATGTATACCTCCTGATGCGTCTCCAGACGCTGATTCCAAATCTGCCTTCCAAATCTGCTAAACGACTCTCCGAACGGAGTTATGAAGCGTAATAGCTCAGTGGTGATGGTCCAGGGTGGCAGGTAAAAGCTCGTAGGATCGGTTCCTTTGCAAGTTGGTTGCTTTGCTTTTGTCTCTAGAAGTGTTGCGGACAAAAGCAAAGCAACAAACTTGCAAAGGAACCGATCCTACGAGCTTTTACCTGCCACCCCGGACCATCACCACTGAGCTATTACGCTTCATAACTCCGTTCGGAGAGCCGTTTAGCAGATTTGGAAGGCAGATTTGAAATCAGCGTCTAGAGACGCATCGACTGCTGGTTCGCTACTGTCACGAGATCGGGAGAATTCGTTGGCAGGGAGTGCAATCTAGGGTGGGGGTTAGTGCATTCACTTGACATACCTGAAAAGCTGGGTGTGCCCACCCCACTTGTGTAGAGCTTATTTATTTTCCTCAACTAAAACTGTACAAGAAGGGATGTGTTCCATAAGTATGTGAAAGGAGAGACGATTCGGGATCTCGGAGAGATGATTCTAGCTTTACAAAAATTAAGTGTGGGGAAAAACTTTCTATCCCTGATTGAGCATAACGCCTCTGGGTATGCTTCTGGCTCCGGGTGGGTGAACATTTATAAGATATACGTAAAATACGTGAAGTACGAGGTGTAGTAGTCATGGTGTAAAATTAGTGATGCTACCAATTGGACAGAAGTTCAAGTCGGGCAGTAGACGGACACTTGACGCTAGAAAATGGATACAGAAATTTGACAGGTTTCTTGTGAGCCCGGGGGATCCTTGCGCGTTCATTTGAAGGAGTCCGCATGTCATAAATTGACCTACACACAATCGATTCTACGATGGCTCTTCCCCTCGTATTGATCGGCAAATGTTACGTGCGATCCGAGTGCACTCTATCCGCGTTGCGGGGGCTAACAGCTTCTCGACGAACTCTGACTTTTCTTCACTCTCTTAGCATAAAAACGTTTTTCTATTTAACTTTCAATGAGCTGCTAGAAAGCAGAAGAGTCGTTATTTTCCACGTTGCTCACGGTTAATTCACTTGGCTTTTTTAGAAGTGTGCTTGGACCGCTGACGGTGCTATACAAGTGGGGTGGGCACACCCAGCTTTTCACGCATGTCAAGTGACTGCCCTCACCCCCACCCCCCTAGATTGGCTACACTCCCCTGGCTCACGAATTCCCCAATTCTCGTGACAGTATAGTAGCGAGCAGCAGTCCCACTGACATACATTTACTGGGGCGCAATGTGCCTCGGGGGGGGGGGGGGGGCAGTCGCCGCGCGCGCTCTTGCGGCAACAGGAAATTCGTGAGCCAGGGGGAGTGTAGCCAATTCAGGGGGGTTGGGGGTGAGGGCAGTCACATGACATGCGTGAGAAGCTGGAATGTTCGAATTTCCTGTTGCCGCACAGCCGCGCGCGGTGACTGGCCCCCCGAGGCACATAGCGCCATTTCTGAATTCAAAAATTATGCGCCGTCCCACCGTACTTGTATAGCACCCCGCTGACCGGGTCTAGGAGGGGACGGGGAGGGAGTTTGATATCACTGGACGACCGCACCTTTGATTTTTGCAGCTTTGTTTTCATTTCTTTCATCGCTGCTTTTGGTGTAAAGAAGGTATTTACGTGCGAATATACAATCAGAAACAGTAAAAGGATGGAAACAAAGCTGCAAAATCAAAGGTGCGGCCGTTGCCCAGTGGGTCCTGCGACGAACCTCGCCAACATTTACCCAACCCGTCCCCTCCCCAACATTCAGCATACGGACCCCTCGTTTGTGGCTGGAGGTGAGTGGGGATTGTGGCCTAGAGCAGTGGTCTTCCATAACCACGCCGAACATATTCATTTTCATACTCGCTTCCCTGTTTCCTTTCCTGCACGGACTATTTGGTTCACCCTCCCTTTCCATTGAGTAACTCGGATTACTTTTGCAGGATCAATTACTGCCACCACATGTTTCCCAGACCCTCAGCCAGAACTTGCGCCGTGTATTGTTGCTCACGTGACGTCTTTTGTTAAGATGCGACCATACCTAGCTATTGGCTTGTTCCTCATGTGAAGTAGATACGTATCGATGATGCGATCAAGCGATCGATACGTATCGGTTCCACGCTCGGACTAAAGAAGGCTGCAGACCGCACTGTATGGCCGCCACCCATCTCATGTCGTGTATTCTTGGTCTCTTTGCAGTGAATAATGTGAAAAAGCTTTCAATATCTGAACGGGTGATGAGTGTGTAAATGCATCGCTGCATTCGAGAAAAGGTTGCGCGCGGTTTTGTTGAGCGTGCACTGACTCACTTATTTATTTACTATGGGCTTCGCTGGGCTCATCTCTTGCCTTGCTTTTCCACCGATGTGTTCTTTGTTATCACTGTTTCAGAAACTCATTTCATGGACGAGCGTATGACAAACCAGCTGTCACCGAGCACTGGCAGCAACACAAGCGCCGTTCCCTTCGGTCCAGTTCTGAGCAACGAAGCTAAAAAACCTGAAACTGTTGCAAATGTAGATGCAGGTACGAGGAATGCCGGCTCTTCTTCTACTTCGACGACTACCGCGGAGCAATATGATGAACGCAGGTTTGCTATTAAGACTTGATGTATGGAACCTTATCGATTACAATGCATTTTTGGTGTGGGGTTTTCCTCCGTCATCGATTGTAATTTCACTGTATACAGTTCGCTGTTTTGAATTCCTTCACTTTCCAATCAGCTCGAAGGCATACACATGAGAGCTTTATAAAGTTTGCACCTAATGATGCTTCGAGAGGGGAAGTGACGAACAGGAGTGCTACCATTCATAGTTGTGTAGTGCTGGTAGCAATAGGCCTACAGTCCGGTGAGCAAGCGGTACGATTTGATTCCTGTCTGGAGCAGTATGGATTGCTCATAACTCAACACCCTTGTGACACCTTTCTCATCCTGAAGCGCGATGAAAGCAGCGGTTAAGACAACAAAGCAAATGAGATGCTAATAGATTTTTTCATAATTCGTTAGAATTTTATGGCAGGGGCCCTAGGGAGGTCTGAGTGTAGTTTCTAAACCTTCCACAATATTCTTCCTTCGTACTTGATTGTTTTCCTTTCAGGATTTATGTCAGCAATATTCCGTTCAGCTTCAGAAGTCCTGATCTTATTCAGATGTTTACTCCGTAAGTCCACAGTTTAAAAAAAAAACGAAAAATACTTTGATTGACAAGGTGGTGTAGGCAGGATCTCCCTCCATCAGAGAGAAAGTCTTGTCATTTCATTCGTTTTCTCAAAAACACTCTTCCTCTTTCGCGCAGTTCTTCAGTTTTGTTCCTCATAGCATTTCTAAGTCCGATTTTTTATGCGGAATTTCATCCGTTCCATCCTTACATTGGGTCTCACGAAAGAAAACCTGACAAAAACGGTATCGTTTGTCCAAAACTTCTAACAACTAACAGTACAAAACACGTCAGCACTTGTAAATCTGTTAAATATTTGAGAAGGCAGCAGTAAACAGAACAAAACATGTCTGAGATTCCAATTCAGCTAGTTGTGATGGTCAGAAGCTTCATTTCTAGGCTATCTATTAGAACTGTTCTTTGTTTTTGTTTTTGTCAACTGTTTGGAAGCCTCGGTAGGTGCAGGTAACTGGTTGAGACATGCTTTCCTTCGTTAGTAGCTGGAACAGTTGGAGCCATGTCATTTCAACCTCCTTAGGCCAACTCACCTGAGCATTAATGAGATAGAAGAAGTGTGTCCTGGTTCCGAAAGCGTTGGAGACTGTATCGTTCCTCCCCTCTCCCCCCTCAATTTAGATAGAGCCCAGAGCAAAGTAGTTCCGGCGGAAACAAAAAAGAAAATCAGAAAAAAAATTGAGTAATACGTAGGAATGCGCTTGTGGCCATGCCAAGCTGCTCTGTGTTTTTGAGATGTCCTTATTTGTCAAATGCTTTTTTAAGAGGTTCAGTTGATATTACGGTTTTGTTGTTTCACTTGTTTTGACTTGATAGTCATTCAAATTTTTGAAATGTTTCTTTTTAAGCAGCAATGCCCCGCCTTGTTTAGCTATAGCGCAATGTGTTGTTTTCAGCTTTGGTGTCGTATCGAATGCGGAAATCGTGATGAACGAACGTGGATCAAAAGGATTCGGCTTTGTAACACTTGATACCAAAGAAGGATGTGATGCAGCACGCGCAGCACTTAATGGGCTGGTAGTTCAGGGGCGAGTCATCGAGGTACAGAATTTGATTAGCCTCGTGCGTGGTAAAGTTGAATTCAATACTTTGCGCTTCTCCTCCACTCAGGAATGCTGAACTGGGTGCTAACTTAGTTGGGGGGGGCCACGCGGCGGCGCGGCAGTCTGCTCGCCTGGCATGTTCGGAAATCCGTGGGCCAGGGGGAGTGTAGGCAGTCTAGGGGGTGGGGGCAGTCACTTGACATGCGTGAAAAGCTGGAATGTTCGAGTTTACACTGTCTCGCTCGAGAGAGCCCAGGTGAGCAGACTGCCGCGCCGCCGCGTGCCCCCCCCCCAACTAAGTTAGCACCCTGAACTGGTATAATAATGGAGGCAAACTGCGAAAATTTCAGCATTAGTAGTAGTAGTTCCTAGCATTTTTGCAATTTCTTGTCTTAGTGGTAACATAACGTTCGTCATTGAGGCACATTCCAGGACTACAAGATGAGGTTACTGCGCTTGAGAATGAAAGTGGTGATGCGAATTGCATTATTAGTGAGGTGAATAACGGATCATAGAGATGTTTGATCCATCTACTTTAATCGCGGGTTGTGCCTCAAAAATCATTGACGCAGCGTCCCGAAATCACCAGTACAGCAATTTTAGTTGTTTGGATGAACCTCTCTTGAAACTCGATTTCTCGGGAGTGCTTTTGTTCAGGTTAAAAGAGCAACTACAGCTCCTTATCGTCGTAACTCGGCTCGCGGGCAACACTCGTCTGCACTTCCACAAACAACGATTCCGCTACCACCAAGAGCCGATTTTCTGGCAGGGCAGCTGCCACAAATCCCAGCCCAGCCTTTAATTACTCACAATGTTTCTGATCCGCTCAGTGCTCTTATACTTGCACAAAACCAGTTACGTCTCCAATGTCAGTAGGCAATTTTTTTAAATATTTTTATTTGTTCGTTGATAATGGATTAGTAATCATTTTAGCTATGATCAATCCTCTCGCGGTGAGGGAGCCCTCGTTGCTGTATCCCAGGCCGTTGCCTTTACAGCAACAGGCAACCCTTATGGGTGGTGGTGTGCCACTTCCCTTCTCTCGCACTCTCACCGATTCCTGTACAGTTACTGTGTGCTTCACGAGGAACTGAAAATTTGCCTCCTACTGGTGCACTTACTGCGACTATGATGCCATTGACTACTGCGGGCCTTACTTACGCTTCTCTTCCAGCTGTTAATCCGAGTAATGTTTTGATTCCACCTGCTGTGCCATGCCGGCTCTCTCAAGATGCAACGAGTGAGGCGTTTCCTAATTGTGAGTGATGTTTGTGGCTGCTTTGCAAGTTTAATAGCTTTTTCAGGTACAATTATCAAGAAGTCTAAACTTTCATTGTTTTGTTTTTGCTGAAAACTTTTGCAGTTTTTTGTGATCCTGGATTTTTCAAATCACCACCTCCAGTTTCGCCATACACAGGAGGTCTAGACTTGGTCGGTTCACTTGGCTTGGCGGCAGGAATTCCTACCCCTTTCCAGCCTGTAAGGCAGTCGTTTTGAGCCACTCCAGACACAAATTAATCCTTTACCGTTCATTTAGAACACGAATGCGATGAAGGAAAAATTTCGAACAAGTGGTCTTCGGGCTTTCGATCAATCTTGTGTCATTGACACCTCTTTTCATGGAGAACCATTGAAGGAAGGTCAATATGGGCCTATTGGTAGAGCAGTGCCGTCAGGTGAGTTGTTTTGGTTTTATAGCTGTAGTTGGTGTTTTATCCTGATGCCAGGTCAATGTGAGAATTTCTCAACAATGCCTGCTTTAAGGGACGATCCCCTTTGCTTCGTAAATATTGCTGTCCATCAAGGCGCGGACTCAATACATCGATATTATAATAAAAATGGATGCGCATTACCTGACGAACTTTAGTGATCAGCTATTCCCTGTGGAGGCTTGCAAAGGCGTTTTGTGAAGAAGTACTGGAGTTGTTGCTGGTGGCAGCAGCGTCACCAGAGCCGCCAACCACCAGCACATGACGTGGTCGCGTGGTTCTGAGAGTGATCCATCTTTTTGATCGGCAGCGAAATCTTGCATAATGTCTCGTCAGTGTCACGGTGCGCTTCTACAACTTAATGCCGTACATCGAACAGACTGTGCCATGGCGTTGTTCGCCGTCTGTACTCCAGAGTGACATGTGGAAGAAGAGAAGAACGATGTATCAGGTGGCTGCCAGCTAACCTAAACGCTAGCGCAGTACTAGGCATTCTCATCTCTGTTAGAAGGGTATGCTTTCTGTGATTCCAACCAGATCAGCCGTTAACTTGCGCGAGGGTATGCTTGCTGTTAGCATCCATGCTCCATATTAAAGAGCGATAGATTTATAATTCTGCTATCTTGATTTGAATTGTTGTGCCTCCTCACAGCGTAGTAAAATGTTAGAGGGAAACTGTTCTGAAGCTCACAACGCAGAGAGGGCACAAGAATCGTAAAAATACACTAGATTGATATCGCCTACTAAGAGATTTCTCAATTGGCTGCCATATTCAGTTAGTCTGAAATGAAGTAGGAGTCCGCTTATTTTTTACCAAACCAGATTTGTTCCCCGATAACCGCCAGGACATCTGAAACGACGTTAGAATGACTCTCAACGCTTAAATGGACCCTCGCTTCGTTAGTGGTTGGTTTTCCCCTTCTCTCTCTGCCCTACCCTCCAGCTGCCACTGCAGCACCCTATGGAATGACCGAGAATCGCTCATTCATGTAGCCGTGGAAGGTGTAGGTGTTATCACAATCTTACCATTGCTAAACGGTGACCGTGCAAGTCCCGCGGCTTCCCAGATTTGCCAGCCTTTGTGTATTCCATGAGCAGCCGTCTCACACCATTCTGCAGACGGCCAAACAGCCACACTGACAGAAATACATACGTGCTCACAAACCGGCACACCAAGTCAGAGGTTCATACATATAACCAAGCCCCGCCCATCCATTCATGCCTCAACCGTTTTCTTGGTCTACGAAGCGTGCGAGCCTAGTGGTTACAAACAGACAGACAGACACACAACACACCAAACTTCTGCTTTATATATAGAGGGGGTAAAGATAGTAAGTCATCATTATGATAGTAACTCTAGAGACAGCTGGACGGTGACGGCTGGAAACAGTGTATGGTAAGCACTTATTTGTAATAGGATCAAGCGTATATGTGCGCGTCCTTTTCTACATTTAATGTGAGCCTACTATATTTCAGTTTTATCGAAAACTCAGCTTCCAGTAAATAGTGTAGGTTGAATTAGGTGCTCGTGAAGGAATCCTTTTGCACCTCTAACTGCATGGCTCCGCATTCTAATCAGTTCATCTTTTGCGAATGGTTATGTATGCCGAATTGCTATCAACATTTTGAGCATGATTCCGCTTTATCTTCTTACTGCACATATATAGGCGGCATCAACAATCAAGTGAATTCTACGAACAATGAATTTCGCTCTCAATCGTCGATGGCTTTGGAAGAGAATGTTTCCGAATGTAGTGCAGGTCAGAGTGGTGGGAACAATCCTAATTTGTTGCCAGTCTACCATCCGTTTGAGCCCCCTACTGACCGAAATGGACGCAAACGCTTGAGCAGTCTTGATAGCTATCACTTGAGTAAGAAACAAGCGAAGTCGATTTGATAGTAATTTGACGTAACTGTCTGTTATATTTTAGTTTTGTGATTTGTGAAGACAGAATGGTTGTTTTTCTCACCCGCATTTTCTTTGCATGCTACCTAAAATTCGATCGCATGTCATCGCTTTGTTTTCCAACATCGCTTGAGAAATCGGAAGTTGTGGTGCACTCGCTCCCTCTTTTGCTGTTTATGATCTCGTATAGAGCTTCATTGTTGGTTTGCTATGGAAATATTTGAGTTCTTTCTCTCGTGCTATTGATAAGTTGTTTATTATTGATATCTTTCGCATGCCTAACTTTGTTGTGAAGTATAAATTTATAACCATAAATAACTTTCGTAAGGAAAGCTAGATTTTGATCTTTCAATGGGAGTTTCCTCTTGGAACAGATGAGATTAGAGTTGAACCGTGAGCGAGAGTTCGACACTCTTCACGTACGCTGCCACATTTCTGGCTTCTGCGTTGACAAATATAATGGATATTAATTTGTCAATTTGCCGCGTCATGATTTTCGCAATCGTTAACGCATGGACCATATCGTACTGAGTCGTACAAATTCGGACTTGAAAGTAGTTTTGCTGGAATGTCTTTCCTGTTGTCCGTGGCCCCTTTCAAATTTGCTAACTCTCATACTTGATATGAAATTGTGCAGCTTGCCATCACAATCTATGATCAGGATTAAAAAAATGGGAGTTCCTGCATTTGTGGAAGAGCTCTCACGAAAAACCTCTTCTGCCATTTCTTTATTACTATTATTTATGTATGTATGTTCTATGTATGTATAGCCCCGGCTACGCTAGGTGATCGACTAAAAATGGCAAGCCAGTGTTCTTATTTTTTAGTGACGGTCGCGAGCGGAGATAGGATGACAGCCGCCGGTAGTCGTGCAAACCTGTGGGTATGAAGGAACCTACCCTGTTAATTATGAGCTTTTATGCCACTCTTTCGTTTTCGTTTTTAGTTGAGATGTCACCATTAACGCAGCCTTTTTTCCTGCTCATCTTAAAGAGGGGCACGTAGGGCACTTGAAAACCGTTGCGCTTTGATTCCATTGGAACCTTTCAATCTTCATCTTCCTTGTAGCTTCCTGGAAGAGAATGTGAACAGCATGACAAATTGCATATCTCTTTCGAGCACGGATCCACTGGCCGCTTGCGGAATCGCAACGAATAATGATCTTGTTCTGCTGGATTTCGCTCGACGGATTCGATGATCAACATGATGAGAGGTGACACACTTTATTTCAGTTCACCCTGAATTTGTGCCTCCCGGGTTAATACAGATGAGAAAGGCCCCGAACTCAAGCAGAATTTCAAGTTGTGGGGGAAATGGTGAGAGATTTTTACGTTGTCGTGAGAGCGGTAGACCTTTCCGAAATTAGCCCAGCTTTGAACAATGGCTGTGGTTATGCTTACAGCAATTTATTATATTACCTACACTGTTCATGATATTAATCCACACATATCACAACAATAGATATTTTAAAAAAGTTGACAAAAGATAATGCAGCTAAAACAAGTGAATACTGCTGTGCAAAGACATACCAATGGAAGGATATGGTTAGCGAGCACCACTCACTGATAACATTTGGGTTATCACCTTATTAAATAGTTCCGTTAAACAGGTACAGCTTCAGGAGGCATCAATTAATACTTGATAACAATCAATATTTAGAAAATATTCAGAAAAAGAACTCTATCTATCATAAAAACCCGTTACGTTTGATTAGGTGCTTTGTTCGAACAATCAACTGCACCGTTAATTTTCTTACACGAGCTGCAGTCAGCTCCCTTAGTTGCGGCATTGTCAGACGTTGTTCCATACCCATCATCTAAGATCACATCCTAAAATGAACAATCCACTAACTAGATGATCAAGGATTTATTCCAATATTTTCAGTTCTGCAGCATGCAAGAGAAGTAGATTGATCAAAACAGCGGATACTACAAGGTATGGAAATGGCGGACCTCTTCAGCTGTTCGGTTTACAGCCTTTTCGACTTGGGTATCACGGGGAGCTTCCATTCCAGATAGAAAGCTTTCACTATCGTCTACAGCTAATGCGCGGAAATTCTTCGTTTCATCCATGTCATCTAGAACTTGACGATTGACAAAGGATGAATCGAACTGGAGTGGCCGGAGCATAGATAAGTCGGCTTGTTCCGTTAAAGCTTCACCTGCAATAACAAATAGATTACTGCTACGAATAAGAAATGAGACAAAGACCAAGAAAGGCTCAGAGGAATGAACAAACACCGCATTCATGAAAAAAAAACTCAAGGGAAGTCGTATTTCATCAGCAGAGTCAGTACCAGGAGTGAATATGCTTGCCATGAAGGCATGTGGTTCGTATCGCGAACGATTCTCCTTACAACAGCCTTTCAGATCCTGGTCATTACGTATTCGTGAAGGGAAGGAGATGAGAAGTCTGACGCTGTTCAGTTGCATCAGAATCGGGATAGCGTTTTGGCGCGATTTGACCTGGCCTTAACCACCTGCGGGGACCAGTCGAAGTCGCTATTTATGCTCTTCCAAAGTCTCGGCACCAATGGTCCAGCTTTATATAGTGAGGTGAATGTTCGATTGCAACGTGTGGGATTTGAACGTGAGACTAGCCCTGGACCATCTGGGACCATAACAGCACTGCCATTTTTAGTCAACGACTTAAGAAGACGATGGATTGCCGATACTGTAGGTATACTGTCCTATATCTGACTGGTTGAATTACCTTTAACGGGCTTTCACAACTGTACACCCACTAGAGTTGTGATTCAGGAACTATCGGCGACCCAAAGTTTAAGGCTTCACGGCGTTCAAAGATGGAAAGTTGCCCACGATTATCAGTAAAAGGACTCTAAGCCGCCGTGTCGTCCACTATCAGTGAAGTCTCATGTTCAGTACACAGGCTTCATATCGCTCGACTCTTTCTCACGTCATCTTGGCGTAGTCGTAGCAAAAAAAAAACAAACGGAAGAAAATTGGGTATGCAAACATACCAGCTCCAGTGATAGACTCGACGGCGCTGGTGGAAGGTGTTGCGGTACTACTTGGTAGTGGTGGTAGAGATGGCATTAAAGAGCTTCTATTTTGAGCATGAGAAGATAAAGGCATAGCGAAATGATATGCGTTTGATCCCGATAAGTGACCGAATCGGTATTGAGCGAGCTCCTAAAAGTACGAATTGGGCATATGCTACTCAGCCAAAAAAAATCGAAGTCATGAATGGTGCAATTACCGTATTTGAATGTCAAGCGTATAACTTTGGATGTAAAAGCATAGTATTGTGAAACCACATAAGGAGGAAAAAGGCACATACCGCCTCGAGTTTTCGAATCTTTTCAGTATCCCTATCATGCTGCCTTGTGAGCTGTTCAATTTGTCGTAAAAACACCTAGAACACTGATAGTTGAAAGACTTGGAACATTGGATGAGATTTCAAACTTGCACAATATTTTTTACCAAAAACTAAAACAATAACTAAAAACTTCGAGTGGACGAACTCACATTTTCAGATTCCTCTTTGGCCTTGTATATTTTCCGCCATTCTGCTTTGTAATACATATGACGCTCTTCGGCGTGCTTATATTTTCGCATGAATCTTCTACAGTTATTATCAAGTTGCTGAAAAGAGTATGCACCTTTAAGAAGCCGTCAAGTCTTTCCCTAAAGGGGACTTCATTTTAAGACATGGTTTCACTTAATCTGGCAATTTACGTATATTGGAATATGTTCATGAGCGTATTGATAAATGACCTGTACAGTGCTAGACACTGCTTATGGGAAAAGAGTGGACAGACCAGATTTGGAAATTTGCAGGACGGGTATATGAGAATAGGAAGCATTTAAACTTAGGAATTTCTGTGGACTTAGAATTGAAACACTCGATGAACCCACCAGCAACTTGTCGTGCATATTCCACTCTTGATCGTCAGACTCTTCTAAGTCCTCACTATAATGAGCACTGGCTTTTGGATAGTTGCCTAGAGGAGAAGGATCACCGCTACCGTATTCAGATGTGTCCCAGTGTGTTCTAAACAATTTTGTGAGCAAAATACGAAGATAACTGCCGCCTATTTTTCTCTTCGTTCACTACACTAAATTCTTCACAGCACCACGATTGCAGAGTAAAAGAGAATATCCACCAACAACTTATTTCTAGAAACAAACAAAGAGCTAGTATACCTTTGTCTCCTGTACTTTCGGCCTTGGTCTTCGGGTCGATCACGATCTCTTCTATCCCGATTAGGCCGAACTTCTGTCTCAAAAGAGCGATCCATGGCATCACTACGATAGCTCTCTTTATACCTAAACAACCAAATAGATCCACATGATGCCAACTGACACTCAACAATTGACTTACCCGCCAGGACAACTCAGTGGCCCTTTATGAAGTCTAGGAGCCGTCACTGTGTGGTAAGGAGCGGTTGCAGGTATGTCCTCGTGGAATCGAGCTCGTTCTCCTTTTGTTGGTCCACGACTAGATGACAGTCGCAGTGAGCGCCGGTATGCCACTTCCCGATCCTAAATTTTTGTTGTCTCCTCAACACTCATGAACGGAAGGCGCTGGATAAAAAAGAAACCAAACTGACTAGCTCTGTGGGCTGCTCATTTTCTTTGTTCACAGACTTCTTCCCGCGGAACAAGCGGTTAAATAATGACATTATCTGAAAACAAAAGATGATTTCAGCTCAAAACGCTGAAAGACGCTCAACATCGCGAAATGCAAAAACATCCCATGCAACCTATCGATTTTTCTAGCTTATGAATGCTTTTCTGTATGGAGCTCAAGGAAATATCAAGTATAACAATTCGTAGTGAACCTAATTAAAAAAAGATGTGAGGACGGAGCCCATCGGATGACAGTAATGCAGCCTATAGTATCGCCACATTGAAATCCTACACAGCTAGAAACGCCAAGATTAAACGTAGGGTCTCATTCAGGAGCGGGGGAGGGGGCATGGTGCAACAGTTCATATCGTCTAAGCTAATCCAATTTTTGCAAGGGAAGCGAACTTCTACCCCCCCCCCCGCAAAAATTGGAATTTTAGTGAGCAGCAGCAGCTATGGCACCGCATGCCCTCTTATTGGATGAGACCATTAATCTAATCCAAGCAGGCACGTACGTTCTGATACTTTCAAGTGTTGATGTAAATGATATACACCGAATCCATAAGTTCATTTCAACTTCACGCACAATTTGATTTGCATCCAAAACAAGACTAATTATACTACAATGGAAACAAAAAAAATGACCGCCTAAGAAACAGTAGCAGTAAAGGCTCCTGGTAATCTTATATCGCTCTATAGCTAACCCTACTTCGACCAAAAGTCTGAGCGAGATTGAGCACTAAAACGTTATAGAAACTCTAGTTGATTCAAAACTTGCAATCTTAAGTATTTTAGCGGGGTTTGAACGAAATATGGTTTCGCTCACCATGGACAAACACTTTGAAACGACATTTGATACAAGAATGCTCTGTTTGTTCTCACCATAGAGAACGAATGAATGACACAATCGATCGAGTATTTGAATAGGAAAGGAGTCCGGAGATGGGCGGGAGGGTCATCGGTTCAAAGAGATACCGCCTGCACGGGGCCATCCACTCACGTGGAATTAGCTGCGAACAAAAACCGACAGGCCTCAGAACTTGACGTCGCGGATGTATTCTGCATTTCTTCCAGAATGACACAGATTCCTTGGAATCATTGAGGATTTCATTACTTTGTAGCCGTTTACAGAAAAAGGATCACGGATTATTAGACTATGATAAGTTGGAACGACTCATTACTATCGACTTATTGTTTTGCCGAACCTGCTCTAACAGCACCCGTGAACATCCAGTCTAAAGTGTTCCATATACCCACATCTAGCTGCTCACTGAATCCGTCAACAGTTACTACAATCCTATACCTAGGCCATAATGGTCCAACATAGTGATTTTGATTTATGAAACAGGTAATATTATAGTTCAGAAGTGGTTAATTCTTTCTTATGGGATGTGCCATGTATTCGACTTCCATTCAGAATCCCAGTAGTTTTGAGATGCGTCTTTGAATTGATCTATACAGCGACTTTGGAATCAGCTATGTATGTACAATTCAGTGTGCCTACATTCCTAGATGAATTTGGCAGAAAAGCAAGGGTTCGAGGTTTTCTTTTTGGCTTGGTCAAGATGCGGACCGTGATTTTGTGGACGAAAACGTGTATCTGGTCGCGGCGCCACTTTCCACTGCATCAGCTCAACAAGCCGCTGGATTTTATCAGGTATCAGAACAAGGTCTATGCATTTAGATGGTCTCCGGACATCTGTCAACCGTGAGGCTAGGCAATTCAGCGTTTTGTTGTGCTGTCTGGGAGCTCTCACACAAGCGCACTATTACAGAATCTCCGCTTTCTTTACCTCCTTCAAAAGGCTTAGTCCCACTACCACAAAGAACGTCTACTTTTCCTTCTACACTCTCACCCCTGGTTGATACCCTCTCAGTGAGGGATTGAAGGTAAACGAACACGCTTCATCTTTTCTTTTTCACGCATGACAAGTGACGTAACCCACACCTCCCCCCCTCGGCCCTGAACTAACCACATTCCTTGGGTCACAGTTTTCTAGCGAATTAATTTTATCACTGTCCCGCTAAGAAGGCGCAGAAATGCCAATCGCGGAGGTGAGGAGTGGCCGCTCAACCACAGTGGCACCTCGAACTATATAAGGTGTATTCAAATTCATGTTGTACCTAATAACGCGACTCCAAAACTGCCTCTGATTTCTAGTCTGATTTACTGCTGCATCGCTGTATGAGGTGCAATGTTGAACATAACAAATCAACGCATTTTGAAAAGCATAAGGGGTTTCAGAGTAAGGACAGCTCATGCGCATAGATATGATGACCAGTGGAATGGTGCTTTTTTTGCAAATGTAGTCAGTCATAAATGCATAGAAATAAATGGTTAAAGATGAAAAAACGAAGAAAAGAAGAAAGAGAAACAACGAGAGAAAAAGAAATATTTTCTTTACCACGAGATGCCAGTTTCCTTTCTACCTATTGTACATCTGTCTCAACAGCAGGAAATCGATCGATGTGAACAACGGCGACAACTTCCCGACCAAACTAATCGTAAGTAAGAAGATCGCAACGTTGTACTTCAACCATATCATTGGGGCCGAGAGCTGCCTTTACCGAAAACCATGGCTGGTGATAACACACCACAAACGGGTCATGAAAAGCGACTGAGCTGACTGAATAACTCTTTAAGTGCGGAAATCTTTGGAGAAAAAGCTGGAATGGCCTTGGGATGAGAGACCTAACCGACAGTGAGTGCTTTCATTTGGAAAACTATGCCGCTCCTGTGACAAAAAGGAAAATATATCGATAGAAAAAAGGAAGTCGCAACAATTGACGGAAGGCACGGAAATCCTTTTGATCAGCGGCGGCGAAACTGGAAACAAAGTGAATAGATGTAAAGTAGAAAGAAGAAGAAAATGGCCATTCGGGGCGGCGCTGGGTTTCGTGACGCCGCGTCACGACGCTTTGAACTTGCCGACAGCGCGTCTCGTAGGCATTTGAATTTCCCGCCAGGCGCGGCACACCAAAGGATGGCGCGATCGCAGCCACCGTCTGTGGTGCCGTTGGCCTGACGTCGCTGGTCAAGCTGCCTTCGGGACGGTCGCTGGTCAAGCTGCCCTCGGGGCCACTGACACACCTCTGCTGGCTCTGCGCCAACGCGTCGGACAACCTCGTTGGCCAATCTCTCTCTTGTGTTTCACTCTATATCTTCTAAAGCGCTATGCGATGATCTCTTCTGAAAAACCTCAAATGGTAATAAGAGAGGGGTCCTATTGTGAGTACTCCAAGG